ATCTTTAACAATCTTTGTTTTTAAAGCCACATCCCTTACGCTTACATACTTTCAACTTGTGTCATCACCTTTGAACCCATGAAAATCTAGGTCAAAGTGTGTTCAGTCTATGAATATGAACGATTCTCACCATCTTTAACATTTTTCTTTATCTTTCCAATCTTGTTTTCGATTTTTCAAAAAATAGCAATAATTTTATAGCTTTTTCTTTTTTTTGGTTTCTGCTCATTGCAAACAGAACCATATTCTTGAATTCAGGCAAATGTATTCATAGTAAAACAATTAGTGAATCAGTATCATCTATTCCACCAACAATTAAACTATCTAATTATAAATCTCACAGGATTAGATATGTAATTCAATAAGCAATTAAGCTTACCATCAATGCTTATGAGAAAAGGGCAAAATCATCAGCAAACATTAAACTAAAGCGCTCTGAGTTCAAATATATAAAAAGAAAGAAAAGTCCCTTCAGGGGTGCGAGAGGTCACACTCCTGATGAGACCTCAGAGGAGAACAGAGGAGAGAATCGTGTTACCACTCAGTTGCTGAGACTGTACAACCAGCATATGTGGCAAAGTCAATACCATAAAAACACTGCAGCCTCTAACCTAAAATACGAGGTTCATTACAGTTAAAAAATGATGTGATCTCAATACAATATAGTCACGGGTTTCGTGCCCTTAAGATGCCATTGATAATGTTTCTGTCACAAACTCTGGAAGACCTATACGTAAATTAAGTAATTGGATAAGTAAATTAATGTTGGTCCAGAACCTTTTTTTTGGACGAAAGCACCCCCCTTAACTTTTTTTTTTTTAAATAGCTTTTTTGCCTAACGAGGTAAGGGCAACTGGTCTAAAGGTATTCAGTGATTAAGCAGCCTTTCTTATTGGGAAAGGAATAATTAAGGGGTTTCTCCAAAGCAGAGGGACTCTAAGAGACTGAAGAGAGAGACATCAAAATGAAACAAAAAGTAGACAATTCTAAAAAACAAGGCCTCTTACTCCATAGGAACCTAGACTTTTTCTCTCTTTGAACTTTTCTCAATAGCATCAAACCAGTTTCATTCAGTATGGAATGTACATTTATGTGAAAAGCTAAGGGGGTTGGATATCTTACAGTCATACAGGGAGATTTAAGTAATTAGAGTTCTTTTGCTAATGTGCACTGGCCTTCCTCGGTGCGATGGCATTACGCTGGGTATTGGTTGCTGTGCTGTGCGGTTGTTAAGATGTATGGCGTCAGTTCCTGTTGTTGTTGTGTAGTAGACCTATATCCTGTGACCTCCTCAGGCTCTCTTTGTTGCAGCCAAATTATGCTTTCTGTTAGTTCTGAAGTTACCTTATACTTAAGTTACTCTAACGGAACAGCAGCATTTTCAGACACACTTTCTACTGCTGCCATTATCTACTTGGCAATTTTCGCTTTCACTGCATTTTTATTGCTGGTGGTGAGGTGTCACTGATCCTTGTGCTAGCTTACCACTACTGTGGCTTGCTTCTCTGTCTCCCCTGTCGGTCCCCCCCAACTCCCTCTAGGTATTTAAATTTTCATGTACCCAGAAATTCGTGAAAAGGACGAGAAGAAGCGAGAAGCTTTCAGTCTGACTTGTTGATTAGCCTACAGCCAGTTAATACTTTACAGTAATTCAAGTAAGGACTTGATGGATGATAGAAGTTGTAAACTAAAGAGATTTTGTTGCATTTGGATTGGGGAGTCTAAGGGTTAAATGTTCAAGGGAATTTTAAGTATTCATCTTCATACTTTGGACCTTGTGCTGACATATGGCATTGAATGTGAAGAAATAACAGTATTTCCTCACAACCCTGTCCCCTCTTATGCCTTTTTATTAACTTTCAGGATTACTTTAACAGAGTTCTCCTCCCCCAAAAGCAGGTTTCACTTTAGCAGATCATTCTCAGATAGTGCTGTTATAAATTTTAAAGAATATGTTTCACTTTCTCTCTCCTCAGGTTCTAACTCTCAAAAACCTACAACACAAGGATAGAGTTGATTCCTTCCTGCTATCATCTCAGTCCTCATCGCCATGCAGGGGACCATAACATTTTGCCTGGTCAGCCAGGCCAACAATGACCCCAACAACTCTTTTCAGAAGCATAGGCCAGTATTGGGTTTTGCAGGCCAACAAAAACCTCAACAACTCCCCATTACTAAGGGATGGATCCATTATTATCATTATTTTTTTTTGTAATTTGCAGGTTTTCTAAGCCATAACAAGGCTTTTGTTTGGGCCACTTTATAAACATTGAACTTAACGCCAATCCAATCCAGACATTTTGAATTGAGAAATCTTCCTGGATGGGAAGAGAAACTTTTTCAAACTTGGAAAACAAAGTCCAGCTGTTTGTTGTTTTTAATTTTTTTTTTAATTTTTAAACTATTTTTGAATTAATTGGTCAATTATATATGTATCTTAGTTATGTTTATTATCTAAAATTCTTTTGAAATAGTTGCTAAACAGGGGTGTGACTACTTAGACACACTTTTAAAAGAGTCTCAGTAAGGTTTTAGAGCTTAGTATAACACTGAATGCAGGGTAAAAGTTACTAATGATGTTCTTTGCCTCTCTTGTATCTGTACTTATGCTGTTAGGTTTCAGTGCCTCAATTGATCAGTCAATCATTATATTCTTTTAGAAAGGCTCAAATATTCAGTAGGAATTAAGAGAACAGCAATAGGATGGTTACATTTTATTCGACTGCTGGGCCTGAAGTGGACTTTTTTGGCCAGGAGCCACTGTGGCAGGTGTATTGTTGAGCTTTTTTAATCAAAATGCGCTTATGCCTAAAAAAAGGTGTACGACTCTGAAAATGCTTAAGATTGGATCTTGAAATTCTACAGAATACACATTAGAGTGCTTGACTATATCTATATCATGACTGACCTGGTGTTAGGTGCATTTAGAATAGAAAATCAGAGAAATATTGCTAGATTTTTACATAACATTGATACAAAATTTGTATTTCTAACTTCGTACATATTTTATGTTTATTTTGGTTCCCAAGATAAGAAAACAAAAATAACAATCATAATATTAATAATGTAATTAACATAATCCAAACAATATTTCACTGTTAAGGAAATTAAGGTTAAAATAGATTCAAAATGGTAATGCTGAAGGCAGAGATGAGGATTGTAGAGTCACCAAATCATCTCCATAACATGTATTGTATTTGTTCTGGGAAGCCACTGAACTAGAATAGTCCAGTCAGCAAAATTTAATTCATTTTGCTGGTTAGACTCACCTAGTTAACAGCTTTGTTCCTATTAAAAGTTTTTTTTTTTTTTTTTTCAATAGAGTGAATGACAAAATGCTAGAGAATTCCTTAGTGTTGCCCAATTAGATTAGATTAGATTAAATTCAACTTTATTGTCATTACACAGGTACAGGTAGCAACAAAATGCCCATACAGAAGGAGTATGACCTGCAAGAAAATGACTCATTAAATCAGCTGCTTTTCCTTGGATTTTTTTCCTTAGATTGAAAACTTTTGACCTATCTGATCACATGATCTCTTTTAATTATGTCTGTAAAGTGCCTTGAGATGCTGTGTTGTGACTTGGAGCTATGAAGATAAACTGAATTGCAAACTAAATTGAATGGATTGACATCCGCATCATACAGTATATAAGAGGCCCTTCCAACTTAGCTGAAATACTAGACCTAAACATGTTCTGTAGCTTTTTCATATAGTTAAGCCTGGTTATTTTAAATCTTACTTCCCTTAATTTTTAGAACAGAATTTTTAGGGCTATATGTCCATTATGAAAATCCATATTAATTGAGTTTAATACTGGAAGTTGTTGGTTCATCACAAAAAGATGCAATTGCAAGGATAATTTCTCTTCCACAGGAAATATTTGCCCTTTCTATTCCATACAGTCACTGTTTTACCTTTCAAAGTCAATACAACTGTGCAGGCCTGAAAAAATTATCTAATTGTTGTACAGAACAATGTTTAGGGTGGTAAAAAAAAAGGACAAATACTACCCTTAATATGTAATGTGTATAGCATGTAATTAGATTTAAGCAATGGAAAAATTTTAGCTCAAGAAAAACATGGACCTCTCTCCAACTCCTCTTCATATGTATTGAAAAAAGCAACAACACTGGTTATAGTATAACAAAGTCATGAGCTGATGAATTCAAAAGAGATTGGCAATAGAAACATTGAAAAAAAAACTTGGAATTAGAGCAGTCAAATGAAGGTTCCGGTTCGATTTACGGCAAGGGGTTTTTCTGCATGGAGTTTGCTTGTTCTTTGTGAGCATGCATGAGTTCTCTCTTGGAAATTCGGCTTCCTTCCACAGTCCAAAAACATGACTGTTAGGTTAATTGGCTTCTCTAAGTTCTCCTTAGGTGTGAGTTTGTCTCTCTTTTGCCCTGCGATGGCAAGCTGTCCACGGTGTACCCCGCCTCCCGCCCATAGACTGCTGGAGATAGGCACCAGCACTCCTCACAACCCCAACTAGGATAAAGCGTGACAGAAAATTGATGGGATGGATGATATTGGTAAACTGATTTCATTGTGCATATATTCATTTTAATTTCATATTCAAATCATCAGTCAGTGGTGTTTGAAGGGTTCATATGAGCACACAGACCTATATCTGCAAGTCAGAAAGTATAAAAAATATGCTTAAAAAGGAGGCTTAATTTACATCATGATCAAATAGTGCATCATTCAGACTTTTACTTCTGTTTCTGATTTCCAACTGCAGATAGAACTGTGCAGTGAACACCTGATAGGCAATCAATCAGTATTTTGTTTTTGTCAATTTCCACAAACAGTTTACTGTTCTCGGCTGTTAAAGTGGTGGATAGCCAAATGTTATATGATAATGTCTTGCCCACTACAGCCATATTTAATAAGGTAAGATTTTGGCTAAAAAAGATGCCAATATTTTACAATAAAGGGTTCAATATTATCTTGTTTTTTTGTATGCTTTTGCTGTAGATGAACTATTGTCTAGTGGTTTTTAACTTCATATTTTTGAGGTAGGCCCCATTATCTGGATGTTACCTCTATATGCAACTAAGAAACATCATACCAAGCACATATCATACAATTAAACATTCTTGTAAACTCTTGATTATTCATGTAAGATGTTTAATTTAACAATGTGGATTATATCAGCCAGAAGCTGTGGACCTGGTTTAAAGTGTAGAACTCTGTATTCTCAAAATATTTTTTGTCCTTTATGGTTCTTCTTAACAGAAAAAAGAGAAAAAGTACTGACTGTATTTCTGCAGCTTTTTGTTTTATTGCGCAATTCAGATGAAGCCTAGAAACAGCAAGAGTGACCTAAGTAAGAAGCACAATCTCTCCTCTCACACACTCTGAGGTTGGGCTGGATAATTGATCCATTCTAAAAGTCTGCAGATTAACATGTTTTTGTCTCTACAGTATGTTTGAGCCAGTCACGATATTTAGAAATGTCGGTATAGACATTGGGCACATTTGGGTAGTCACAGTTATTGTTTCGGTTGAATGAGACAACACCAACAGCTATCCCGTTGCACACCAGAGGGCCACCAGAATCACCCTGTAAGAATGAGAATTTTTTCAGTTTTTCTAAATGTATCTAACAATGTTTAGACTATCAATATACTCCAAACATTAAAGACATACCTGACAGAATCCTTTTTCTGTATTATATCCACCAGCACAGATCACATTGGGTGGAAGCGTATACTGCCACGTCCCATTGCAGACTTCTTTATTGATGATGGACACGCTGACCACTCTCAGATCGTTACTGGTGTTGTTGGTTTCAGTTTTACCCCATCCAGCAACAGAACACATTTGATTGTCATCTAAGAAAATATCAAACCTTGGAATGTGAATGGTCTTTACTCTGTTGTTTAGGGAAGCTTTCCTTGAGAGCTGAAAACACACAAAGGGGAAAAAAGCATTTAGACTTACAAATGTCCAAGTTCTGTTTGCACATCCATGACTGAATAAAAATATGTCAACACATTTATAGAATTTAGCTTTTTTATAATAAAATATAACAAAACAATTAGAACTATCAATATGCACAAGTCTTTGTATGTAATATATAATGTGATGCTGCTACTTTTAGAAATGAAGGTTTGGTTATCATGATAATATTTGTGATGGTAAATATTATCATTTTAAGGTTCAATTACAATGAATACCATACTTTATTGTCGCTCTACTACAAAACCCTTTTTTTCCCCTAAAGCAGTAAAAAAGGTTGTCACTGCAAATATAAGTAGAAGCTTGCAAATGTAAAAAGTGGATTTTTTTAAACTATAAAGTTAGTCTTTAATGGAGCTGTACTTTATGAAATAAAAATGAAGATTTTTCTTAAACATGCAGAGGGAGAGGGAAAAAAAAATTAAAAATTGTATGTGACTTAGGTTTTTAGCTGAATGTTTGCACTCTTTACTATGTTTTGTATAAAGCCTCTTACCAGCCTGTCAGATATTCAATACCAGCCAAGTGTCTGCTTATACGTCACAGGACAACAACAAAAAATTATATTACCCAGTTCTTCTATCTGCTTTCAAAACTGTTCTACAGATCTATAATCTGCGAATGAATTTGTCAAAGCATTCAAAATTTAATCCGTTTGTAAGCTTGCATCGGTGTTAATGAGGGTGAATTTTTTGCATATATATTCTTAAATTATATAGTAAAAATGGTAAATTTGCAAAGTTGTTTAATTTATCAGAAGCTTCTTTCCAAAATTAAGAAAAAAAACATATTACTTTACCAAACCTCTCGGAAAGTGAATAAGGCATATTCTGAACGTCTCCCTGATGTTAGGCCTCTGTTCATATCATTTACGGTTAATATGGTCTTGGAAAAAATGTATAAAAACTTTGCACATGTAGAACAATTTCCTTTGTTGATATTCGATTAGAGGTTATTACCATTAAATATCTTCCCCTTTATCATCTATTTCTCTTTATACAGATGATGCCACTGGGATATTTTGTTTGGATTGAAAGGCGAGTCAATATGGGATCATGAGAAATAATCAGAGATGGCAAAAGTACTCACTTTCCGTACTTGAGTAAAAGTACA